ATATATATAGACCAATAATGGCAGTATGTTATGCATCAATAGCAGCAACAGCTTTTTCCAGGTTCTGCAGTCATTTGAACAAAATTGTAGAGACATCAAAATCTCAGAAAAACAGCACAGTCATGCTCTGTGATATTATGTGGGTATGTTTACATCACATGACAGTTTTCTATAGGAAAATCCCTTCTCTTTTGCACAGCCTGTGTAACTATGTGAACTTCTGAAGAAGAAAGGGCAGGGGTCAACAGTTCGAAAGTTCTGGTCAGCAGGATCTAGGCTTGGGGTTCTGTCACAGCTGTGTGACCATAGTTAATGTATGTTGCAAAATAGCTAGAAGAGAGGATTTTGGGCTCACCATGAAGAATAAATGTCTGAGGTGGAAGATATGTTCCTTCCTGTGATTTAATGAAATTGATCCATGCACATATCCAAAGCCCAAGGGCCTAAGTTAAGAGTCCCAAGTGCCTATGTAAGAAACCTGTGTGTGGTTGGTTTCAGAGGGGTGGAGACAGGATTGCAGGGATTTGCTGGTTGCTGGCCCAACTCCAGGGACAGTGAGACTTTATCTCAAGGGATTAAAAGAGTGATTGGACTCCTGACATTTTCCATGTATGTGCATATACCACACAGATATTTAAATAACTGTCACGTGTACAGCAATAGTAAATACATGAAAATGGTTCCTGTAGATTGAATTTGATATATACCAAACCAATAAAAGACAAGTCGTTATTAAAGGATAAACAATAGATCCTAAATCCAAACTCTGAGGATGTTAGAGCTATGATGTGATTGGATACAAAATACAAAATAGTTGTGAAATGTTTCAGCAATTAAGATGGTTAAAACATTTACATTAAGAAGCTCCGATTGAGCTGGGCATTGGTGGCGCACACCTTTAATCCCAGCACTTGGGAGGCAGAGGCAGGCAGATCTCTGTGAGTTCGAGGCCAGCCTGGTCTCCAGAGCAAGTGCCAGGATAGGCTCCAAAGCTACACAGAGAAACCCTGTCTTGAAAAACCAAGTGTGTGTGTGTGTGTGTGTGTGTGTGTGTGTGTGTGTGCCGGGTGGTGCATACTTTTAATACTAGTACTGGGGAGGCATAGGCAGGAGGGTCTCTGTGAGATCAAGGCCAGTCTGGTCTATAGAGCAAGTTCCAGGACAGCCAGGGCTACACTGGGAAACCCTGTCTCAGAAACAAACAAACAAAAAAATCAAACATACGCATAACTAGCTAGTTTTGAAAATAGCATGCACACAATGCTGCAAAAGTAACACTTGGGAAGAATTTGTAGCTTTAGATGTCCATATTAAAGCTCATGAATTCTCTGAACAGAGTGCTGGAATATTGATAAACACTGAAAGTAGTATGGACATTGGGAAGCACAGCATGAAACAGTCTTTTGTGATAATATAATGAAATATTTCCTAAGGAGTTTTTAATGCTCACTTCACATTTTGTTACATTCTGTGTTAATGAAAGCACTTGACAACATGTGATGTCGAATGATGATGATATATATTCATAACAATTTTTATTAGTTAGTTATTTTTTTTTACAGAGAGAAAAATAAGAACTATGAAATCCTATGTAGAAATAGATTAGGCAACGACTTATATGTGGAAAGGATGATGCAAACATTTAATGGAGCACCAAAGAATAAAGAGGTTCAGTGTGAAAAAATCATAATGGAAGAAAAAGGTAATTCACTTTATTCTGTTTGGCAAACTGTTGTTATATTTTAATATATGTTCCTGGACACTGTCCGTCAACACATGTTAAACTATATAAATAAAAATGGAAATTGATTTGCCCAGGTCTCAGTACTAGTTACTGTAATTTATAATGTTCAGAATTTGACAAGGTAACAGGAAATAATGATATACAGTATTTGAGTAATATAATTGTTCAAACTGATTCTTATAACCCTATGTCAGAACTCTGCACTCTTCAGTTATTTATATAAACTATGTATTTGTATATTCCATACAGTCTTTACATTTTTCCTATAGTAACTGGCTTAATGATAACCATAACACTATAAAGTGGGTCCAATTATTAGTCTCCATTTCATAGATTAGGAAACAGCCGTAGAGGAGTAACCCAGGATATCCTGTTTTTGTCTTAGAACCTGTGCTCTTAAAGGCTATGCTTATGACCTCTCCATGTTTACAGAGTAACATTTCTGAGGATACTGCATAAGCAAAAGCCCAAGGTGTGTGGGCGGAGGAAAAGGTAGGAGAAAGAATGTATAATCTGATTGCAGTTATTACTGAACATAGCTAGGAGCTAGTTTCTTTCTAAAGATTGAAAATACAAACCTCTAATAAAAGTAAGTAGTGTTTAGTTTAGTTTTTTTTTTTTTTTTTTTTTTTTTTTTTTAAAAAAGTAAAAGAGCATTCATCTGTCTTGTTGGCAGGAATATTTATTGCTCACCCCTGTTACTCCCTTTTATGTGAAAGAGAAGAATAAATGCTCCAATCTCCTTTTAGGTTTTCCCCCATTCCTACCTCAAAGCAGAGGTGCGGCTTGCCTAGATGGTACATTTGGGAGTACAAATGTGGTGTACCAGGATATCCTGCTGTGTTTCCTTCCCTGGTAGCAGAAAGTATAAATTCTTACTAGTTTGAAACCCTGGTTTTGATCCACAGCACCACATAAGTGAAGTGTAATTCATTCCTGTAATGCCTCAGTTCTCCTGAGGGGAAAGCAGCAGGATCAAGAGTTCAAGGTCATCCTCAGTGTGTAGCAAGTTCAAGGCCAACCTGAGATAGCTGAGGGTACGGAGCTTTTGAAATTATTATTTGAAGATAAATTACTTTTTCAGTTTGTATTTGGACACCATGGCTATATTTGATGATTTGCATAAATGTAATTAAGGTTTTTGACAATGTCATTGTCCCAAAAGGTACAATTTTTCTACCTAAATAGTTGTGTAGAGAACTTTACTGAGTAAAAAGGAATGGGATGCTTCCCACAAGCAGATCTGTAAGATATAAGATGCTGTGTGCTAGCCACTAGTTAAAACACTGTCTCGGTGTTATCAAAGTCTGTAACCCATGACAGCCTTGCAGTGATAAGCTGATGAGGTGATTCTTCTCCAGCCTGGGTAGGAAGGATGGAGAAACAGAGGTCAGATGAGACTGAGGGTAACCTGGGCTATCCTGAAAACATGAAGGCATATCTAGATACTAATAATGAGACGGCTCAGGATCTCTGGAGGTATCCTCATGAACTATTTCTTTGTTATTTTCCTGCCAATGCTGTTAAAATTAACGTGTTGTTAATAGAAAATAATTTTAGATTTTTCTATGACCAGTTATGTGCAAAGCTATAATATTAGAATGCATTTTGAAATCCTTTTGCCTTTTCTGTCTGTTTAGGCATAATGGCCACTGCCTGGGATTTGTTTGATTCTTTCAACACTCCCGAAGCTCTGCTATCAGCAAAGCAATCTTTAGTTGGAAGTAAAGGAAATTTACTTGCTAAAGACCGGGACTTAAAACTACAAGGAAAGTACCATGGGCAAAGTGAGGCTGCATTCATCCATTCCAGGGTTTGCATGATGTCTGTACATACTGCTTTACATTCTTCTGCAGCAGTTATAGTATTCCTATCCACAGAACACGTGAAGTACAACTTTTCTCGGGGATTCTGCTTGTATTTTCACTGTTTCCTGGATTCCAAGCATGAAATTAAGTTTTTTTTTTTCTCCTTGGATATTTGTCAGGAATTTGTTGTAGCTATGTGCACCATGCTGGCCTCCAGTTCACAGAGATCCTCTTACCTGACTCTGAGTTCTGGGATTAAACACATTTACCACCATGCCGGGGCTTGTTTTTTGAGTTTTTCTCTAGTGCATTTTTGCTTTCTCTCTCTCTCTGAACTCTTTTTTCACATATATGTATGTGTGCATGTTTGTGTGTGTGTGTGTGTGTGTGTGTGTGTGTGTGTGTGTGTGTGTGTGTGTGTGTGTGTGTGTGTTCCCCAGTCCAGTGTGCATGGAGGTCAGAGTGTGGGTCCTCACCTTCCACCCTGTTTGAGATAGTCTTGTTATTGTTTGCTAATGGGTATTCCACACTACCTGCCTTTAAATTTGAGTATTTAGAACATTACATCTTCCATTATTTGTTTTCTGGTTTTGTTTTATTTTTATTTACTTATTTATTGTTTTTTTACTATCTTCTTAGTACTACTTAGTTACTACTTTTTTAGTTACTGTTTAATTTACGTGTGTGTGTGTGTGTGTGTGTGTGTGTGTGTGTGTGTGTGTGTGTGTCTTTGTGTTTTTTTTTTCTTTGTATATCTGTGCAATTAGTTACTTGTCTGCATATTGCATTACATACATATAACTTACCAGAGTCCACTTATGTCAGCATGTTACCAGTTCGATTTCTATGTTTGGTGGTTGGTTTTGGCTTTTTGAGGCAAGATAGTTTGTAGTGTGAGTTTTCTGGCCTAGCATCTCCTGTGGCCCTTGAGCCCCAAATAAACACACAGATGCTATATTAATTATGAAATTGTTGGCCAGTGACTAGGGTTTCTTATTGGCTAGCTCTGTCTTAATTTTTATCCCATTAGTTTTCATCCCTGTATTTCCATGTGGTCTTGGTTTAACGGGGAATCCAGACCTGCAACTCCTTTGCCTGCTACATGATGACTGCTCAGAGACTCCCCAGAGAAGAGAGAAATTTCCTGCTTGTACCTGCTTATATCTTGATTCTTTCCAGCTACATCACTTCCCAGGATCACATGACAACTTCTCTTTGACTATACTTCCCAGAATCCTCATTGTCTCCTAGTCCTACCTATCATCCTGCCTTGCCAAACTGTTTATTCATTAACCAATAAGACAAACATATACACAGAAGAACATTCCCCATTAGATTTTATTATGTACCCTGGCCTGCCTGAGCCCTGTGAGACACTAGGCTGGCCTGGAACTACTATTATTACTTTGCCTTTGCTGCTTCCTGGGATTATAGGCATGGCACTCCCTCTTTTGTTTATAATGTTGGCTTTGTATATTTCTTCTAGATATTAAGGAAGACATTTATATTTAGAACTGCATTAGGCAATATAATTACTTCTTCAATCATAAATATCTCAGAAAAACTAAAGTGAATTTGTCATACATACTTTAATTTTGTGTGTATATGTGCAATGTATATGTTCAGTTGTGCATGTACATCCTCCTGTATACACGTAGAGGTCAAAGGACAACTGAAGTTGTCATTCTTCAGGTGCTGGCCACTTTATTTTTTGAGACAGAGTTTCCTTCTGGTCTTGGACTCAACAATTTGGCTGGACTGTCTTGCCAGTAAGCTTCAGGAACCTGTCTCTCCTGAGTTAGGAGTGAGAACCACTACAGCCAGTGGCTGCTGCTGCTGCTTCCTTAGGCAAGGAGTCACTATGTACCCCTATATTAATTATGAAATTGTTGGCCAGTGACTAGGGTTTCTTATTGGCTAGCTCTTTTTTTATTATTATCCCATTACTATTAATCCATGTATTTCCATGTGGTCTTGGTTTAACGGGGAATCCAGACCTGCAACTCCTGGTCTGGATTGGAACTCACTATATAGACCAGGCTGGTCTCAGAGACCCACTTGCCTCTGTGTCCTGAGTACAGGGATTCAAGGCATGCACCACCAGGCCCAGCCTAACCCCAGCTTTTTTACATTGAGATCAAGCCTTCCTGCTTGCATGGCAGGCACTTTACCAACTGAGCCTTCATCTTCTAATTTTTACCAAATGTTTTTACTACAGAATTGCGGTGAATAGTTCTTTTCATGCAGCATTCAGAGAAGATAAGCAAATTCTTCTGGAATCTCTTGTTTCTAATGAAAAGTGTATTGATACTCAAATGATTTTCTTCCTGTGAATATCTTTCCCTTCTTACTGCTCCCAATATTTCTTTTTTGTCTTCCTGGGTATGTGATTTTTGCCTTCTGTTTTCAGTAGTATATTTATGGCAAGTCTTTGGTGGATATCTTTACGAACGTAAAGGCTCATTCAGTTCCTTCATTCTGTGTTTGTTCTTTGCTCAGTTCTATGTATTTTCAGCTGTTGGCTTCAGGAGACAATTTGTCCCCTTCTGAGATGATAATCATCTGAATATTGTAACCTCACAGGGCCCCAAGGCTCTATTCATTATGTTTTTTTTTTTTCAGAGTAGTTTTATTTTATGTTTATTCCCTTGGTTTAACAATTATTTTTATTTTAAACAATGTGTATGTACGTATGTGTATTTTAAACAATGTGGTCTGTGCACGTGATTACAGTGTTGGAGGAGGCCAGGAGAGGACATCAGATCCCCTCAAGTTGGAGTCACAGGCAGTTAGGAGTTGCCAGATATGGGAGCTAGGAATTGTATTCAGTCTTTTATAAAAGCAGTATGCACTCTTAACCACTGAGCCATCTCTCCACTTACTTTTAAGATTAGTTTTTTTGCTTTATTAAATGAGCTGGATGTGGTGGCATGCTCCTTTAATCCCAGCACTCAGGGCCTAAGGCAGTCAGATCTCTGTGAGTTCAAGCCCAGACTGGTCTACATAATGAGTTTGAGGACAGCTAGGATTACATAGAGAGACCCTGTCTCAAAAAAAAACAAAAAACAAAAAACAAAAACAAAAACAAAAAACCTCCCATTCACCAAAATAAGTTGCTCATTGTTCTTGCTTTGAGTTCATTGTTACATTTTTCTTTTTCCTTTCTATTCTGTTATTTAACGAATTACTTGAAATTTTCAATTCTGAGAATGTTTTTCAATTCTGTAACTCCTTTTTTTTTTCACTTAAATGTTCTATTCCTTTGATGATACTTTTTGTTTGTTCCAAGGATGTTTACAAATAGTATTTTTATGATGATCTATGTAAATTCTTTGTTAGATAATTCTATTGTCTCTCTCATCTTGGTGTTTGTGTTTATTAATTATCATCTTTTCAACTGAAGTTGAGATTTTCTTGGCTCTTGGTACAGGGAGTGACTTTCAGTTGAAATCTAGATGTAAAGCTTCCATTTTACAGGGAGCCAGGGAGTGGGGGATCTGTGTTTCATGACTTGGTGGTAGAAGCCCAGTTTTTAGATAGGGACTAACTGGGTAGCCCATGTGTCTTAGACTCACTTGTCTTCCTCATCCTCCTGAGAGCTGGGATGATCCTTGTGCACCAGACTCAGTAGAAGACCAGGTGTTTTAGCCTGTTTACCTGACTTCCTGTGGCACTAAGGGATGTGACTGCTGAACTGGGCTAAGCACTCCAGCTTCCTTCACACTTCTGTGACTAGCACAGATAGGATTGCCTCATTACCTACTCAACCACATACAGCGTCATTGACAGCAGAGAATAGACAGTGTTTTTATTATTGCTAGATAGCCATGAAAATTCTGACTCCGAACTTTTGTCAACTTCAGTGAGAAGAGAAAACCAGTTAGTGCCTGGTGTCTGAGAAATCCCGGGCTCCCCAGCTGTTCATGTCTGGCATTCTCATGTGTGGTAGAGGTGAATGTTCCGGGCTTCTACTATAGCTTCTCTGATACCACACATGATGCCAAGGCCCTGTGGTGAGGATGGAAGCAAGTCTGTCACTTGGCCTTTGTGCTTCCTGCAGTTCTGCAGTACCGCTGCTACAGTTGATGGGCTGCCTCTGAACAGGGAGAACAGACTTCCTATGGGCATTTCTCTTTGTGTTCAGTGTGTTTACCAAGTTGCTGTCTTTGTTTGCGGTGTGTTTGAATGTATGGATCACCCCTGTGGCTGTGCCTTTCCTTGGGTTTCAAGGACTCTAAATAATCTTAATTCTCTTCTCCTTTCAAGGGCTCTTTTGGTTTGTTTTCTGTATTCTTTTCTCTCCCTGTTTTTTTTTTTTTTTTTTTTAAGTTGGATGTAACATAAGGTATAAAGAAAAGTATACACCAACGTCACATAAGTTTTCACACTAGCAGTTTACTAGGTGGTGTGGTAAGGATCACAGTGGTGTCTATATTTGAGTTCTGTAAAAGAACAGAACTGATGATGTACTAGTTACTTTTCTGTTGCTATGATAAAACACCATGACCAACGTAAATATATAAAAGAAAGCATTTAATTGAACTTATGGTTTCAGGGGGTTAGAGTTCATGATGGCAGAGCAAAGTCATTGTGGTAGGAACAGCTGAGAGTTCACATCTTGATCCACAAGCATGAGGCAGAGAGAGCACGCTGATATCACCATTCTTTTGAAACCTCAAAGCCCACCCCCACTGACACACCTCCTTCGATAAGGTCATAATTCATAATCCTTCCCAAACAGTTCCACCAATTGGAGACCAGGTATTCAAACATATGAACTTATGGTGACTGTTTCACTCAAATCATCATACTGTAGATATAAAAACAGTATAGGGTCTATTAGATTGGATTACAGAGTGTGGTTCATCATTAGCTGTTTCATACTGGAAAAGCTGAGACTGCATTAATCATTCAGTCTATGAGGCTGGATGTCCCAACAGTCCTAATTTGGGGCTGGACACCTGGAGGATTCCTGCTGATCCTTAGTTTACTTTGGAGTCACAAAGAAGTCAGTGGTAATGTCATGAAGGAATGTCACAGCAACAGAGTAGATGAGAGCAAGCAGGCAAAAATAAATAAATAAATAAATAAATAAATAAATAAATAAATAAATAAAGCAAAGTTTCCTTTTTTTGTCCTTTTACCTGGGCTGCCACCAGAAGGTGCCACTCACATTTAGGATGGGTCTTCCTGCTTCAGGTAATCTGACTGAGAAACTCACAGTTTATGTTTTAGTTGACTCCAGATTTAGTCAATTTAACAACCAAGATTAGCCACCACAGTGCCCCAAGTTGATACACTTTCCCCCAAATCTGTGAATATACTACCTTGCAATGGAGGAAAGAGGTTTTTGTTTTGTTTTGTTTTGTTTTTCAGACACAATTACAGATTTATCTTCAAATTGGAAGATTGTCTTTCATAATCTGGTTGCCCATCTAATCACATAGTAATAAAAGGGTCAGAACCTTTGTCAACTGTCAATTGAGAGCAGGTGTAATGACAGAAGTTCTGAGAGGCACAATGTTGCTGTCCTTGAAGATTGACCACATCTTTAGAATAACTCTTCAAAAGGTAGAGAAGCCAGGAAAACAATTTCTCTAGTGCCTCTAAAAAAGAATGTGGTCTCATCAACTTGTTTTTAGTTCAATGACACAACATCCTGTAACAAAAAGAACTTTAAGATAATCAAATTGCATTATTCAAGCCATGTGGGTTTTTTTATAGCAGCCACAAAACTAATAGAGAATTAGTACAGTATTCATACACACACAAAAAGACTCAAGTCAGACCTTTGTCTGAAGATAGATAATCATTTTGTTTCAATGTCAACAGTAAAGTACAGAGAATTACAGCTGTAATTTGAATGTGTCACCCAAAGTTCATCTGCTGGAAATTTAACCCAGAAATTTATCTACAAGTGAGCCGATAATTGGAGTTAGATGGCATCGTGGGAATCAGGCCCCCACTTCAGATTACTGCCTTTATAAGAAAACTCATCTGAGCTCTCATGATTCCCATTTCTGGCCACGTGATGCAGTGGATGGCCAGAAGGCCCTCACCAACTGTAGCTTCTTGGCTTTGATCTTTCAAGCCATTGGGACTGTAAGAAACACATTTCTTGTCTTCATAAATTGCCTAACATGTAGTGAATCTTTTTTGGTACCTATTCATAAATGTTTGAGGATATGAGTGTGTGTGTTCATGAGTATAGGTGCATGCATGTGTGTAGAAGGTAGAGGATGACCTCTGGTATCATTCCTCCTCAGACACTGTCCACCTTGTTTTTTCAGACAATCCCTCACGAGGCCCTGGGGCTCAATCACTAGACAGACTGTCTTGCCAGTTAGTCCCAGGAATCCACCTGTGTCTATCTCTCTGGTGCTGGGATTCCAGCTGCCCCACCCAGCTTTTGATGTGGGTCCTGGAGATTGAACTCAGATCTGCATGCTTGCACAGCAAGAACTTTATCACCTGAGCCATCTCTCCAGTTCCTTAAGCTGTGGTATTTTGATAAATTACCAGAAAATGGACTAACATGTATTTGTATTATCTCAAGATTAATACTGCTTATCCTCTGAAAAACAATGATGTTTTTTGGATGGGTAGGAGTTCCACAATGAGTTATACATTTGCACTTTCTTTGTGCATGAAAGATTCAATAAATGACTGTTGAAGGTGCTAGAAATGGGAAGAAGACAGAAATTATAAAATATAATTTAAAAATCTTTAAAATGCATAAACTACTACTTGGCTCTTTTGTAAGTGAGTTGTGTTTATATTTACAGATAGTGAAACTAGTTCCTTAATGGACATAGAAAATGTAATTCTGGCTAAAGTTCATGAAGATGATGAAGGTAATTCAGAGGCAATACTAAAATCTGAGAAGCTTCAGCAAGACTTATTTTTCATGGAAAGAGTTTTAATGGAAAATGTATTTCAGTCAAAGCTTGCAGCCTACCGTCAACTCCCTGTTTTAAAAGGTATTTTTAAAAAAGTAACCATGGTTAGACATGGTAAAAAATTAGTTGTACTTTTAGATATTTTTAAATGTAACTTCCACACTAGTTTTCACTTATTAAAGAATATATTTATGCAATTTTAACCACTTACCAACTACTTACTAAACATATGAGTGGCACTAGAGTCCAGACTAGGGAATCCACAGAAGGGTTGACCCTCAAATTTAAAACTTCAAAAGCATCTTTGTCCTTATTTTCTCCTTTTTCCTGCATCAAATTAGGCACTTTTAAATAGTGTTTTTCGGGTTTAGTCTCCCTTTGCACTGCCATTAACTCTCGGGTTCTGACTGTTTAGCATTACTCCCTGATATTAATGGCAGGGACATTCATCTCCTTCTCAGCGCTGCGGACACCCTATCATATGCTCACAGAATATTTTATTTTAGCTCTTTACAAATTTATTTTCAGTTTCTGCTTTCTGGAGCTGGAACCCAGGTCCTTGTATAAAAGCTCTGCTGCTGAGCTATACTTCCTGTCCTAAGAGGTTTCTGCTTTTTTTTTTTTTTTTTTGAGATTATTTTGGCCTTTTAACACATGAGTGAAGTGAAATTTATAGTTATATAGTGTGTCATTTTATTCCAGTTTAATTCTTTCTACTCTCTTACCCTATCTTGCAGATTTATCCTAAACACCCTATGGTCATTGAATGCTCTAACTGTTCAGAGCCTTCCCATTGCTTAGGGTCAGCTACATGTCTCGAGTGTATTATTCCAGACAACTCTACTCTGGCCAGAGACTGCTGTTGTATTATGTGGAAGTTCTTTGGAATTCAGAGACCATTGAAATCTGTCACTCTGTCCATTCCTTTCCCTGTGCTGTCTTTTCCTGTTGTCATCCCACTTTTCACAAACTCTTCTTGATCCACTTGATCCAAAAGTTAATTGCCTGGGTGATTAAATGAACAATTAGATTACAAAATAGAATGTCTAGCAAATGGTTGTAAACTTTTTACCTGGAGAAAGCTAGAATAATGTTTTAAAACTATGGTCTTCTTTCATGTAAGGTTGCTATTTTAAAATTTGTATCATGTATACTGTTCCATTCTATATCTAAAGAGTTGTATAGTTTCAATTTAAATTGCTGTAAATATTGACATTTACAAAGCTAAACTGTTAGTATAATACTTGTTTACTAATTAAAATAACAGAACAAATACTTTAATGGGTACGATTTATAGAAACGGCATGTTTATATTTAAACTGTCTTTTTAATGTATTTAGAAAGTTAAGAAAGTTACATAACAAATACCCTGATCAACATAAGGAATATACCCATGAACCATAAAGATTATCGTGTGCTGGTTGCATTACCCACACCCTCGGCAGCAGTTGACTTTATCTGTAACCACAAGTTAACTTTCTCAGTTGTGGAACATCATTTAACTGCATTCCTGTGATAAATATTGTTTTTTGAGACAGTGAGATGACTCAGCAGGTAAAGGCACTTGACACGGAACCTGAGTTGGATTCCTCAGAACACACAGGGTAAACTGACTCTTTTGCATCATCTGACTCCCATACACATGCACACACACACACGTGCACACACACAAATATGTGTAATAATAAAAAATTAAGATAAACTTGAGTTTAGATTCTTTCACTACCATTCCTGATGTTGAGATCCAGCTAGATTGGTGTATATATAAATGGTTAATTTTTCAGTGAAGTGCTCCAGCACATGAAAATCTATAATTTGTTTACCCAGCAGTTGGTGGCTCTACATTGTGTTCCATTTGAGGTTTCTGATTGAATCTTTTGGCAAATGTATTTCAGTTTCTTTTGTGAAAATGCCTAGCACTGGATCTTTAGATAGATGTGTTTTTAGCTTCATTTTAGGAACTGTGAAATAGTTTCCCAAGGAGTTAATCCTGTCTTTCATTTCCAAAACCAGTGTGTAAGAGTCCCAGTTTCTCCAAATGCTAATTATCGATACTGGCAATACCTTTAAAATGTTATTAACAGGATGCATTACATTTTATACATGTCTGTAATGTATGTTATCATATTTAACTCCGTTTCCCTCTCATGTCCCACACCCCTTGATCACTTTCCTCTTTCCAAATAGCAGTTGCCTGTTACAAAGAGGGAGGAGTCATGAGGTCCCACTCCTTCATGAGGATCTATAGGCAATTAATAGTTTCTAGGGAGGTAGAGATGTTCTCTTCATTAATATAGTCACTGGAAAAATGAACATACTGCTGTAAACAATACATTGCCCATATAAGTAACTTTAATTAATCCCACACGCACTCACAAATTGGAGAGGGGAAGGTGACAATCTTTTTAATATTGTCCTAATGGTTTGTAATGCTGAATGCTTGTGGTTAATTTTGGTATTTGTGTACTTTTCATGTAGTGTTCGACTAGGTCTTTTGCATATACTAAAATTTAGTTCTCTTATTTGTGTGTGTGTGTGTGTGTGTGTGTGTGTGTGTGTGTGTGTGTGTGTGTATGATGTGACATGGCAGGGGGCTGTGCCAAGGCACACATGAAGGTCAGAGGACAGCTTTGTGGGGTCAGCTCTCTCTTTGGTCTTGGGAATCACACTTAGGTTTTCTGGCTTGGTGGTAATTGCCTTTACCCTCTGAGCCATCTTGCTGCCCCTGATGGTGTTATGTGTTAAACACTTGTTAGGCACAAAAGAACAGTTCTAAAGAGGAATGTTATGTTGGAATTAAATAGAAGGAAGATAGCATGCAGTTGTAACCACTGAATATTAAAAGTATCCAAAGAATAAAGGAAATACATGGGAAAGAAAGAGGTGAAGCAAGGCCTTTTAATAACCACAGAACCCAGAATGTTCCCTATATCTTTGAAGAAGCAGAATGAAGTTGAAGAATTGAGAATTTACAGCTTAATATTAAGGTACAGTAGTCAAGATAGTGCAGTGTTGGTGAGATGATAAACAAGTAGGTGAATTAACAATCTAGAGATCTCAGGAGCAGACCTATCTAGTCAAGATCTTGGGCAAAAGATAATACAACAGAAAAAAAGGCAGTCTTTTCAACAAGTGAAGTTACAATATCTACATACAAAAAGGAAATCTAACCATAGACCGTAGATTCCACAAGAAAATAACTGAAATATATTATAGACACCAATATAAAATCAAAATTCTTAGAAAATAACATAGATGGAACAATAACCTTGGGTGTTAAATGTTGTTTAAAGTAAAACTACCCAAACACAATGCATCAAAAAATAATTGATGAGCTAGACTTCCTTAACAAAGACACTACAGAGAGAATAAAAAGACAAATCCCTCGAGAAAATATTCACAGAAGACATATATGATAAGCAATTGCTGGCTAAATATGTCGTAAGACATACGATCCAGAAAACAACTTGCTGGGCATCATGCCACATGAATGTAATCATAGGATTCAGGAGGTGTAGGCAAGAGGACCAGGAGTTCAAGACTAGGCCATGCTATGTGAGAGCCATTCTAAAACACAGAAACAAACCACCAATACTCCATCCTTAACAACTTAAAAATGAGAAGAAGGTTGATGTGGTACACATCTGTCCCAGCACCCTACTGGCTGAGACAGGAATATCAAGAATTCAATATCTGGGGCTGCAGAGATGGCTCTGCAGGTAAAAGCAGGTCATGCCTTTTCAAAGTACCCAGGTTTGATTGGATTCCAGCACCCACATGGTAGCTCAGAACTGTTTGTAACTCCAATCCAACCAAATCTGATGCCTTTTTCTGGCTTCCACCAGCACCAAGCACACATGAGGTGCCAACACATAGATGCAGGCAAAACACCCATAAACATAATAATAGAATAAATAAAAACAAACTAAACAAACAAAAAGGATTTAAAGCCTGCCTGGTCTACATAGCAATGTCCTGCTTCAAAATCAGTAGAAAGTATAAAAAGAGATCTCACCAAGGACGATATCCAGATGGGAAACTATATCATTGGGGAATTACAAATGAAAACAACCATGAGGTAGGTAAACTTACCTGTTAGAATGTCCAGAACCCAAACACATGGTAATACCACATGCCAGTAAAGATATGGGACAAGAGCTCATTTGTGACTGGTGGGAATATACACTAGTATGTCTAGTCTGGAAGGCATCTTGGCAATTATAAAACTAAGCACAGTCTTACTGTACAGTCTATCAGTTGCATCTTGGTAGGTACTCAGATGAGCAGAAAATGTATACCCACACTCGTCAAAAAAAACAAAAACAAAAACAAAAACCTCTACGCAGTCTTTATGGGAACCTTTTTCATAATTCCTCAAATTGGAAAGCAAGCAGAAATTTCCATTACTAGGTAAATGGATAGACTGAGGTACACACATTACTTGGTGCTGAGTCACAGAGTTCTGGGCAGACATGGAGGAAGCCTACATGCATGATACTTTGTAAACAAGTCCAGTCTGAAAATGGAACAAGCTATGATTCCAACTATAAGACAAATATGAAGAGAATGGGAAGAACAGTTACTGCCTTGCTGGGAGTTAGGTTACATGGAGGGATAAAAAGTCTGTGAGCACAGGTGTTCAGGCCAGTGAGATTATTGAGAACAATACGGTAGTGTGGGTAATACCTGTCAGTCACATTTCTCAACACCCATACACTGTACCACACCGGAGTGGATTCTCATGTCAGTTTTGGATGATAATGACAGCAAACCAAAGACAGCAGCACTTCCCCAAGGGATATAGATTAGCATTACTGCCAAGGACTTTAAATAAGCAAGCAGACTGGTTCCCAGGGCATTTCTCATTCAGCTCATCTATTTGGCTTATGTAGAAAGAAGATGGATCTTGGAGAAAAACAGTGAATTAGTATAAACAGAATTATTATAAAAATAGTATGATTATAAATTATTGTAAAGGCAATGATTTAAATTTTAATGTTGTTCTCATTATTGCTTCATAACAGGATTAGTTATTTTCTTCTTGCAATAACACAATACCTGGCAAAAGCAACTTAAGAAACTTGTTTGTTTGTTTGTTTGTTTAGTTTGTTAGTTATTATTGGCTCAGGGTTTAAGAAGATATTGTCCATCATGGCAGGGAAGACATAGCAGAATTCATGGCAGCAGTTGTACACAGCTGGTTCTCCATACATAGAAAGTAGAGGTGAATAGTGCTCTTCTTGTTTTTGTTTTGTTCTTTCGGAACCCTAGCCCATGGGATGGTGTGTCCCACTTTTAAGATGAGCTTGAGTTAACCATCCCTGGAAATGCCCACAAAGACGGGCCAACAGCTGTCTCCTAATTCTAATTTCCAGGCAAGGTATTGATGAAGGTTAACCATTGTAATGGCCATTCTTGTTTGTCAACTTGACCACATCTGAAATTAACTAAAACCAGGCAGCTGGATAAACTCCTGAGGGTTTTTTTTTTCTTAATTAAATCATTTGAAAGTGGGAAGACCAGTTTTAATTGAGATCTTCTGAGGGTGGAAGATGCACCTTTAATCTGGACCACGCCTTCTGGTCCAGATTATAAAGGACATGGTAGAAGGAAGCTTGCTCTCTCTTTGCCTAATTGCTCTCACTCTAAGTGTCAAGTCCATTCCTTCACTGGCATTACAGCCAACTTCTTTGGGATTCTGATGATTACTGAAAGCCAGTTGAGACATATAGCCTTGTGGACAAAACAACTGTATTCTTGGGACTTTCTGTTGGTAGACAGCCATTGTTGCACTGGCTGGACCACAGCCTGTATGTCACACTAATAAGAACCCTGACTAATACAGCCATTCTCACAACATGAGCAATTAAACACATGTAGCTATCAAAAAGGCAAATACTTTTGTGCCCCTCCCCATATCCATTGGGCTTAAGAAACAAGCAAACCATCCACATCTATTTTCAGTGGTTCTACAACCCTACAATCACAATTTAGGGCCCTTCAACAAAACCATCTATTTTTGGATGTTGATTGGACCATGTAAGCAAGATGTAAACAATTTATGAAAAAACCCAGAAGACTCTCTCTCTGTTTCTCTCTCTCCACCCACTCCCTTGGCCTGGGGGGCTTTTCCTACAGCCCCTCTCCTCTGGCTGCCACTCTCAGCTCAGGGATCAAATGTGCTACTCCTCACAGTTCACTGACACTGTCAGCAGATTTGGTAAGACAACTGGGAATTCTTAAAGGAAGGATTTAGTTAAGAGAGAGAGTTTTTCCCACATTAAAAATGAGAAACACAATTACAGTGGAGAGAGTTGGGTCTCTGTATGATCATGCAATGAATGATTTAAAAATGCAACAATTAAATGAAGGGATACTCAACTGGGATTAACATACTGTTAATTATCATTTTGAAAATCTTTGTTGTTGGTTTGATAATTCTAGGTTTATCTCTAAAAAAGTCGGTTGATATGAGTGCTAAGATAAAGGCCTTAGAAAAAATTACTAAAGCGGATCATAGAGATATTGAAATCCAGACAGAAGAATTTAATGAAGAACCAAGCTCAGCATTGCATTATAAAGTTAAGGAGGAACAGTCTGTCTTAAGAAAACCAACCTTAATATATCCACAAACCTTACCGGAAGTGTCAAACGATAGAGGTTCTGTAAGAGCTAATGGGATGCCTGTGACAATGTTAGATTTAAGGAAATTCAAGGAATTGGTAGTCTCCTATGGCATTCATTCACCATTTGTGAAGCAGATATTAGACATGTGGTCAGTTTGTAATAGAGTTATCCCTACAGACTCGATAAACTTGATTAAAAGTACAAATTCAGGATGTTGTTATTGAAGATCTGGTAGGCACAGGTGCGGGCATAGCAATTATACCACCAGAATCTTGGCATCCAAATTGGTTTCTTCAGGAGGTAAATGCTAAACATTTAGGGATTGGAACTTATCTCAGGTAAAACAGAGCACTAGATGGGTCAAATGCATAGGGCCAGAAGGACAGAGAGGAAAATTAAAGCCATATGTTGCTAACATATCATTGAATTTGTGGGGACATGATTTGTTACGGCAATGGATTAGAAACAAACCATAACTTAACATATGGTTCTGAAAGAAATATAAGAAGGTATTATAAAGAACAGCCACCAACCATTCGGGTTGTACAAAAACAGGACACAACAGCTGCTGATCTTTCAAAGGTACCAACAGCACTACCTTTAAAATGGTTGGCAAACAAATCTGTATGGGTTGCACAATGGCCTTTAACAACAGAGAAACTGCCAGCTTTAGAAGAGCTGGTACAGGGACAACTAAATGCTCAGCATATTGAGGAATCAACCAGCCCTTGGAATTCTCCTGTACTTGTTATTAAAAAGAAATCAGGAAAGTGGAGAATGGTAACAGATCCAAGAGCTGTTAATACGGTGAAACACCCAATGGGCTCTCAGCAGTCTGGAATTCCTTATATACCTCTCTAGTGCTGGGATTAAAGGTGTGTGACACCATCACCTGGCGTCTGTGGCTTGTGGTTGGCTTTGCATTCTGATCCCCAGCCAAGCTTTATTAAATAATAAATAATATATCACCACAATTCCTCCTTTTTTTTGTCTAATACAAAAAAAGAAGGCTACAACTTACACAAGGAAAACTATATACAGTAAGTACAATAACTATATATAATATGTACAGGCAATAAGTACATCAACAATGTCTAGTCCAGTTGCATTTGACAAATTCAGAGAAAATACTCCATTATTTGTTCTATCTTGATGAATCCAAAATCTTGTACTTAATTTACTTTCTATTCTAATTTGCATTTATCAAATTATCTTTTTTTTTTTTTCCGAGACAGGGTTTCTCTGTGGCTTTGGAGATTGTCCTGGAACTAGCTTTTTTAGGCCAGGCTGGTCTTGAACTCCCAGAGATCCACCTGCCTCTGCCTCCTAAGTGCTGGGATTAAAGTCATGTGCCACCAACGCCCAGCTCAAATTATCTTTTCATGTCTCTCAACCTTTTACACTTCTCATCTCTTCAGTGAGTTTCTTTTCTGAGTCTGGTCAACAAGGAAAACTCTAACTATAACTATCTAGTCTTCAAATCCCTCAGAGACCATAGAAGGAAATAATATTAACTGAGTAAGGAGGAAGTATGAGCAATGTCTTCCAAAATATGTGAGAAATGACAGAAACATCTGGCTGGCCACTTTGCTTTTCTGATCTTCAGCTTGAACCCCAATATCAGTCTCTGGTTTTATTATTCTTGTTACAACGAAGCTCGTTTTTGTTTTTTTGTTTGTTTTGTTTTGTTTTGTTTTGTTTTGCATTTTCAAGGTAGCAGCATTTTGATGTGCTACTCTGGCTCATTCTCTCATTGACCAGAGGTCTGCTATCAGAAGGCTTCAGTAGGTCTAGGTTGCCACTCGTGTGCCCTGTCACTTTGACTATGTATTCCAGTAGATCTAGTGGTGTTGTGTCAATGACAGAGAACCTAGTCAGACTCTTTGCTGTGGAGAGCAATATCTCTGTTTGATTTAACTGTAGAATATGAGCCTGAAGAGCCTGAAGAAATTCTGGAAGAAGAAAGTATTGAGGAATCAGATGAGGAGTCTAAGGAGGAAGAAGAGGAAACGGAAGTGGAGCTAGAACTGGAGATAGCCACAGAGCAGTCAACAATACCAGCCAATTTGGAACGGCTCTGGTCTTTTTCCTGTGACCTAACCAAAGGCCTTAATGTGAGCAGCCTTTCCTGGAATAAAGCAAATCCAGTAAGTCACCAAATGCTCTAATAGTTCCATCCTAGGATAGTTCTTTTGTAAAATTTCATTTATTATTATTATTATTATTATTATTATTGTTGTGTGTGTGTGTGTGTGTGTGTGTGTGTGTGTGTGTGTGTACAGGCTAGCTGGCCAGATGATTCTCCTGTTTCCACCTCTCGAATTACAAATGTGAGCCATCACATCTGTCTTTTGGGGGGTTCTGGACACTGAACTTAGGTCATCAGGAATGTGCAGCAAACGCTTCTACTCACGGTGTCATCTTGCTGGCCTCTGGTAAATTCTAAAATGAAGGGTTTTATTAGTTTCTTTGTTTTTATTCAGCCACGGGCAAAGGATTTAACCTGGCTATGGAGGAAGCCTAACTTAAAATCAGTGCAGCCATAACAGGCTGCAGGCTAACAATATGGGGACTAGGCCTCATCCTTACAATAACCAGGAAAAGCCACAGACTGTAGCCTGTGGGGCACCGATCAGAATTGAGACAAACAAGCACTAGATGCTCCAGAACATGAATAATAGCGTACCTAACTTATATATAGGTTGCCAGTTTCCTTGAAGCAACACCAGTACCAATCACTATTTGACAAGACTCCTGCTGCCCCACTCCTAATCAATCAGGAGTTCAACCCCGTCTGAATCTGGAATTCCCCTCCCCCCAACCCCATCCTTTACTCCTTAAAAACCCTGCCAGAGCAGAGCTCAATGCTCTCCCTGATCCAACCACCGTGTCAGAAAAGATGGAGAGCCCAAACTCGAACTCGTGATAAGGGCTCTTTGCCTTTGCATACAAACTCAGATTCCTGGTGGTCTCTTGGGGTCTCATGACATGGGCATAACAGCTATAACAGCTAGTTTTGAAATGTCTCTGAATGACGTTTATGTTAGAAAAAGCAGAAAAGGCAAATAGTTATTTTTCTCCTTACATATAAAAACATTACCACCTTTATTCTCAGAGTGTGCTTGGCACCCTCCAAGTCCACATCAGATGATGTGATATATACTAGAGAACCGTGTGTGATTGACTTATTTTAACCTGTACCAAAATTCATATATCTACATTTTCCTTCTCCCCCAAGCAGTCATATTTGGAAGGGTGTGCTTAAAGCAGTGATCATGCCAATGTGTAAAACGCTTATGGGATTCCTCAGTAATATTATTACTAATATTGTTAAATGCATAGGCAGCACTTTGTATGTGCCAGAAACATTTAAAGTTTTTTTAAAAAATATTTTTTTTATTTTTTTAAAATTATGTGTATATGTATGTGTGTGTGCATGTGTGCACATGAGTGCAATGTCCTAGAAAGCCAAAGGCAAACTGATCCCCTGGAGCTGGAGTTAGAGGTGTTGTAAGCACAATGTGGGGCCTGGGAACTGAACTCAGGTCCTCTGGAAGAGCACTACATGCTCATAAATGCTGATCCATCTCTCTAGGCTTGTGCTAACTTACCTGTGTGAGTCAGAGCCTCCATTATGTTGATAGGGAACTGGAGGCAGAAAGATAATAAATGATTTCTCTAACCTCATCCAAACAGGAAATGAAGCATCCAGAACTCAGAAATGCAGAAATCTGGCAGGAGAGTTCCCAAGTCACCTTGAGACAGATAAGCTAGGTCTTAAACCTGTGGGTCATCACCCCAAATACCATCAGAATGCACATATTTACATTACGATTCCTAACAGTACCAGACTTATAGTTATGAAGTAGCAAGGAAAAATTTGTGTTTGGGCGTCACTACAACATGAGGAACTAACTATATTAAGGGTCTCAGCATTAGGAAGGTTGAGAACCACTGAGCTAGGGACTGGTTTATTTGTTTTTAAAGGGAGATGCTTATAGAGTAAAGATGTCCTTCTGGGTTTTATGAGATGTTTCTGAAAATATTCCCCAACTAGAAACTCCAAATATCATTTTAGGAGTGACTGTATCTGTAGTTGGTTATTGTCTTACTCTTTTGGCACTTTGCTCTTTTGTTCTTTGGGAGGTCTGCCACCCAGCTCCCAAATAAATCACACATGGAACCTTATTTTTTATGAATGCCCAGCTTTAGCTTGGCTTGTTTCTTGCCAGCTTTTCTTAACTTAAATTATCTCATCTACCTTTTGCCTCTAGGCTTTTTCCTTCTGTACTTTCACTCTTATTCTATGGCGGACTGGGTAGTTGGGTGGCTGGCCCCTTCTCTCTCTCCTTGATTTTCTCTTGCTTTCTGATTCCTCTTTTTCTCCTATTTATTCTCTCTGCCTGCCAGCCCCAACTATCCTTTCTCCTGCCTTGCTATTGTCTGTTCAGCTCTTTTTAGACCGATCAGGTGTTTTAGACAGGCAAAGTAACACAGCTTCACAGAGTTAAGCAAATGCAACATAAAAGAATGCAACATGTTTTTGCATCATTAAACCAATGTTCCACAGCATAAACAAATTTAACACATCTTAAAATAATATTCCACAACATGTGTCTTTAGAGTAGATACTTAGTGTAGTTTGAACTCAAAGTATTGTACATACTAAGCAAGCACTCTACCACTGAGCTGTAGCCCCAGCCCTAGCCCTCTGTTTTACTAGTATTTTTTAATAGTTCGTTAGTAGGTATCTTTATGCATTTGCCACTATTTCCTGCCATCCTTTCAAGTGTCTTTTTCTTGTTTTCAGGACCTTTTGGCTGTTGGCTATGGGAACTTTGGATTTAAAGAGCAAAAAAGAGGAATGGCTTGCTGCTGGTCAATAAAGAACCCCATGGTAACCCAAACAGGAATAAGACTATTTTTGTCTCATTAAATGTTGACAGGGTTTTGTAGGATATATTCTTGTGTGTAGTAATTCAGCAAAGTCCAAACTGTTTTGTCAGTCAAGACTTTCCACTTACTTATGTGTGTTCACATGTGTTAAGTGCCTACGTGTGCAGGTATGAGTGTGTGTGTGTGTGTGTGTGTGTGTGTGTGTGTGTGTGTGGGTCGGTCAGAGCACACAGCCCTAGAGATTGTTGACTCAGTGCCATTCACCTTCTGTTTTTGAGTCAGGGTTTCTCACTGGCTTGGATCCCCTTATCTCTGCCTACCAAAGACAGTATTAAAACCACACACCACCAGAACCCAGTGTTTCTCCATGACTTCTGGGACTTAATTCAGGTCTTCTTACTTGAAAAGGCAAGAACTTTACCAAGGGAGCCATCCCCCCGGTCCTCATTGTTTACTTTAAATTCGTAATAGTTACAATTTGTTCTTATTTTACATGGGGTGAAGGGAAATCATTCATGATTTCACACAATACATCCCAAGCATCTTTTATTTACTGTGTTATCACAGCTAAGTATAAAGGAGCCTGTAACTGAAGACCCTTTGAAAAAACACATGTAATCAGGGGTATCAGTGATAGGCATAGAGCACTCTATTCAGCTAGTAGAAAAAGAGTTAGTAATCTGAGAAATAATCATATTTTTTTCAGAAAAATATATTAAATCCAAGAATCAAGCCAGTTGGTAATCTTATCAATAAATCTAGATCTCTAGTTACCCATATTTTCTAGCTTACTAACTATGAATTTTGTAAGGAAAAAGGATAGGAATGACAATAGGCTTTTAACTAAATAGCTCTGCTCCATCTATCTATTGCTGTGTGGCTTTACATTTAATTTAACTCAGAAGTAAAATGTGAAGCTGAAAACATGGTGGGTAAAAGAGCATATGCAGTGATTAAAGTTATTGTGAGTAGCCACAGTGTATCAGGCCTCTGGGTTAACACACAGAAAAATAAGCTATTTGAAGTGTGGGAAGATTGGCAGAATTGGTCATCAATAGTTTGTCTCCTTTTCCACACAGGGATTAGACAGAGGAAAGGATTTAGTCCAGCCACAATAGAGTCATAAAAAGAAGTAGATTAGAGAGCTTGGGAGGAGTTTTTTCTATTTGCTTTGTAGAAAATAATGAAACAATCCAGGTTTCTTTTTCTTTTCTTTTCCTTTTTTTCCTTCCGAGACAGGGTTTCTCTATGTAGCTTTGTAAACCAGGCTGGCTCGAACTCACAGAGATCCACCTGCCTTTGCTTCCCGAGAGCTGGGATTAAAGGCATGCGCCTCCACCACCTGGCTACAATCCATGTTTCTAAAGCAAATGGCAGAAGGCCCATGATCTCTTTGCAGCTCGTTCTGTGCTTCTCTCAGGAGGCAAATATGTGCTGGTCACACTCGTCCCTGCTAGAGGATTACCAAGTGTGACAACTTATGCAGAAGTCCATGATGTGTTTGTAAAGCCATTGCGGACGAAGGCTTTAGAGTAAGTTAAGGAAGTGACTGTTCTAAGATTTGTTTTCATGTTTGCTAGAAGCCATGGCCAGGAGTAACTGAAGGCGGACTAACTTCTCAGGTTCCCCACCAGCACAAGGCAGCCTCAGCTATGATTAGGCTGTCTTACTGTGATATCTAAAAACGCTTAAAATGTAATAGAACATCCCTGCCCGCCCCCCTCCACAGTGGCCAGAGCGTATTTATCAGAGTGCATATGGAGTTACCTCTGTGGACTTTTCAATCGCCACACCCAATCTGCTAGCAGTCGGCTACCACAATGGCACGATTGCAATTTATAATGTGCGGAGCAACAATAACTTTACAGTTCTGGACAGCAGGTGAGAACCCACCAAGTAGATGAACAAACGTACGATGCATGCTTGTTTTTTTTTTTTTTTTCCAAGAACATTTATAAGAGTACATGTTTTTACTTTAAGCGAAAATTCTGTTCATACTGAGAATAAAATACCATTGTTTTCAAAATGTTGAATGCTTCTTCCTGTTGTCTCCAGCTGGAGGATTTCATACTCCTTACTTCCCTCATACTCTTCTTTGCCTACTTTACCAACAAACTTATCTTGGCCTAGTGGCTTATGGATATTCTTAAATTATTACTTTGATATCATTTCCTCTAAGAAACTTCATTGTCTTCTTTTGTATACCCCATGTGCCTTAATCTTAATGCTTACCCGTCTGGCAGATCTTTCTGAGCTCCTGTATAATCTCAGTGAAAGCAAAGAAGAGGCTTTCTTCTATGTTCTCGTTATGTCATAAAATATTTAGCTTGTAAGAGCAGTGCATGTTTGAGAAGGAATGAGGTAATGATTAAGTTATAAGGAGAATACAGGCAGGTAAAAAGAAAAGATAGTTAAATGAGTTAGTTGGTTGCTGTTTGTTTAATATACCGCTAAGATGTGGCAGTATATTTGTAGCAGTGTTAGAATAAGCTTAGTGGAGACTGGGTATAGTCATTAAAGCATAGGTTCTTAATACTGAAGTTACTTCATAGGTTTGCCAGCATGGGCCTGAGTGCTTGTCTCTAGGAAAAGGGCCCCCCCCTTTTTTTTTTTTGGTTTTTCGAGAAAGGGTTTCTCTGTGTAGCTTTGGAGCCTATCCTATCCTGGCACTCGCTCTGGAGACCAGGCTGGCCTTGAACTCATAGAGAGATACACCTGCTTCTGCCTCCCGAGTGCTGGGATTAAAGGCGTGCACCACCAACGCCCGGCCTCAAAGCTATCCTTTACTGTAAGTTCAAAACTATTTTATTGGAAAGTTTATATAAAATAATCAAGGGAATGGGAAATAAGAATCGAGGACTTTATTCATCAGATAGAAAAAGTCAGTAATCTGAGAGAGAATTTTAATTTTTTTAAAAAATTAAATCTCAGAAGCAAGCCAGTGGGGTAACCCTAAAAGTATTGGGAGAAGAATGAAATGTAGCAGGGATTGTTTATTTTTATTTTTTTTTAATTTTCCAAGAAAATTTAATTACAATTGGAAGATTACAAATAGTGTACCTGAACTTTAAGAATACCATGTGTTAAGGACAAGAGCAAAGAGTAACTATTTTTCATCTTCCAATTCACATAGAAACACAAGACTTTCTGTTCTCTCCTTTAACTGAATAGCAGAAAACAAAAAAGACAAAAGCAGGCTCACTCATTTTAAACATGAAAGTGAGCAAAGATTAATAATTTTAAAAAGAGAGAATTTCAGTTAAACCAGATTGAATCATAAGTAGAATTTTATATGTACTTTATGGAGGAATAGACTTTTCAAAAAGTAATACAAAAGATCTTGTGCCAATCCTAGAGGCTATTGCTCTATATTAATATGAAGATTTTTTAAACTAAGAATATTGAATAATGGACTTCTGCAAAATATGTGTGCACACATCAGCACAGATTTCAACTGGTCTTTGAACATTAAGAAGTTCACCCTATATCACATTAGAATGCAAGTCAATACAAGATTAATAGGAATCATAAAATTGAATGCATGGGATAGATTCACAGAGCCAAATAGTAAATCTTACATTTTATAAAACTTATTTCAGATAAAGTTGAGTTTTTAAATTCTGAATAAGGTGTGGTACAACTATGTGCTAACTTTTCATTGTTATTTCAGGAATTGTTTATTTGAATAACAGTCCAAAGACTAATTGATTTGAACAATGGAAAAGAAGCTACAAAAATAAAGTTACTCATTAAACATGTGTAAAGAATGGCTATATAAAGCAAAAAATATAGATTCTAAGAAGAAAATGCTTTCTTTTATGCTCCTTTTTTTTTATAAAGGCAATAGAATTATGGGTCAGTAAAGTTTCCTTTTGAAATAAATAAGAAACACCATAGTAAATATTAAAGTGATTAACTATTTAGATGTATGGCTCTTGAGCACACAAATAAATAAGGAAATAACTCAATAAATAAATGTTTTGAAAGGAGCCAGTGAGATGGCTCCATGGTTAAAGGCACGTTCCACTGACCCTGAGGACCTGAAATGGGGGGCTCCCAACATGAAAGAGACTCTAGCACTTTTGTCTGACCCTCTGCACTTGTGCCTGGGGATATATGCAACGCCCCCTCCCCAGGCACAGAGGAGAAATACAAATGCAAACAATTTACATATTGATTTGAACAATAAAAGCGCCATTATATGAGTAGAAAAATGATCCTTTAGGAAGTTGTGTTTAAGGTCTTCCAAATTTATTTAAATCGTTTTTATTTGGCATTTTCGTCTGTTTTAGTGAGTCACCTCAAAAACATCTGGGACCTGTTTGGCAACTGCAGTGGATAGAGCAAGACAGAGGAACTACCGGGGATGACAAAAGAGAAATCTTGGTGTCTATATCATCTGATGGAAGGATCTCCAAGTGGATTATTCGCAAAGGACTGGATTGTCATGGTAAAAACCAGGGCGAAGCCCATTTTCTCAGATTCTGGGTGGAAGCTGACAGATTTTGGCTTGGTGGGTAGGTGGAAAATCTGAAGTTGGTCATTGCTTTCTGAGCATCCAGATTTGTTTTGCCCCAGTTTTAATCTAATCCTATGCATACAATTAATTTGCAAAAGAGACAGATATGATGCTAAGTGTACTTTTTCATGCAGTTAATGACAAATTGTGCATATGTTTATATACATATGTATGTAGACACACACATACATACCTACATACACATTTCTTTCCTTAAAGATTTGATGCGACTGAGACGAACTACAGCTGGCAGCAACAAAAAGGGACCGGAAAAGGAAAAAAAAGGCGAGGCTTTGATATCTCGACAGGCTCCTGGAATGTGCTTTGCTTTTCACCCCAAGGTAAATTTATTTCAACCCATTATCTACCATTATCTGTTATAGTTTCCAAAAATTGAGTGCAGTTTGTGAACTGTACACACACACACACACACACACACACACACACACACACACCAATGCTATGAGGCCGAGTGGCAAAGAAGAGCTGCAGCAGAGTTGGTTCTCTTTACAAGTACATGGCTAATATGCTTGCCTCTCCTCACCCTCTTGGCCACTCTGCTACTCTATTGTACTTAGATAAATCATCTCTAGAATACACTGCTCTATATTTTAATGTGAGAGTTAGCCCTCAGGATCGGAGGAGTTCAGATTTCCCAAGACCTTGATGACATCAGAGCAGTTAATGAGGTTTGGCTCTTCTAGAGGAACTTGGGAATCAGAAGACTCAGATGCTATGGCAGACTTCTAAGAAAACAAGTTCCATATGCTCTTTGTCTTTTTAGTGATACTACCCTGTGCCACATTTGAATGAAACCTTGTGGGACAGAAAGATGGCTCAGGAGGTAAAAGCACTTACCCCTCCCCGGACCCCGAGCCTCGTAAAAAAAGCTGCATACAATGGCATGAATCTGTAAAGCTAACCCTTCTACAGTAAAATAGGAAATTGAGACAGTAGCAGAAGCTCATAGGCCAACTGGCTTGAAGCACACTGTAAGGTGGAAACAAAAGTGACCTTGCCTCGACAAGGTGAACCAAAAGTTGTCCTCTGACCTCCATGCATGATTTTTGATCAATTTATGTTAGTAACATTTTTCTGTGTAATCGGTTCCCACTTTGATCTTAGTCACTTCCCTTCTTCCATTTGTATTGGTTTTAAATGTCTCTTGCCTTACTGACTTTTAAAAATGTAAACTGTGGTAATTGATTTATGAGTGTCCTTCTTTGCCACACACAGATTTTTAAAGTTCCCAATGATCATAAAATAAACTTTGTTTTGACATTTTCTGACATATGTATTTTCCTCATAGCCATCCCTACTGTGCCCCTGGTACCTTTCTCCTTTCAGTGGTCTGCTCACTTCCCAAATCATCACACTTCTGTTTTCCTGTCGTACATATGTACACATTTTTATAGTGGCGGAGGAGGGTTGGAGACAGTCTCGGGTAGCTCAGGCTGTTCTTCATCAACTTCTTACAGGTTTTATAGTTTTCTTTGCAATATGTTTTCTATTACCTGACCACCCCTTGGATTTTATTGGAATCTGTTGTATGGTCTCCCTTTTCATCTCCAATTTTATTTACGTCTCTGTCTTTTGGTTAATTTTATATGGGATTTGTCATTGTTTTTCAAGGAACCAACCCTTTGAGTGACATTGTTCCCCCAACTTATTCCTAAGTGTCTTTGTTACTGATGTGTAGGAAGGCTACTGAGTTTCCTTTTAACTTTCTAGACTGTCGTTTCCTGAAAGTGTTTATAAGAGCTAAGTGATTCCGGTAGCATCTTTATAGGCTTTACAGATGATACATATAGAACTGTATGTAGCATCTGGAAATAAGGATTCTTTGACTTCTTCATTTCCAATTTGTATCGCTTTTATTTCTGTTTCCTGTCTTATTGCCAGAGCTAAGAAAGTGTGGGCACCCTTGCCTTGTTCCTGATTTGGGTGGAAATGCTTTCTGTTTTCCCACATTTAGTATTATATCGACTGTCCGTCTGTCAAACATGCCCTTGGTTATGATGACACATGCCCCTTCTATTCCCACTGTTCTTAGGGCTTTCATCATAAAGGGATGCTGGATTTTGTCTCAAGTCCTTTCTTTATATATGGAAATGATAATGTGATCTCTGTTCTGAAGCTCATTTATGTGATACATTCCATTTGTTGAATGGCCTTTGTTGAACCATACCTGCATCTCTGAAATGCAGCCAACTTGATCATAATAAATGATCTTTTTTGATGTCTTCAGTTCAGTTTGCAAATATCCTACTAAGAATTTTGTATCTATGTTCATCAGGAAAACTGGTCTGTAATTTTCTTTTTCTGCTGTGTTTATCTGCTTCTGGTATCAAGGTAATACTGACTTCATAAAAAGAGCTTGAACTCAATATTTCATTTCCTACTTTACCAAATAATGTGAGTTGTGTTGGCAGCGCTCCTTTAAAAGTGTAGTAGAATTCAGCAGGGAATCCATCTGAATCTGTTTTTTTTTGTTTTGTTTTTTGTTTTTTTTTTATATAGCTGGGAGTTTTTTCTCCTACTACTTAAGTTTTGTTATTTGTTATAAATTGGTCTAAATTGTTTGTCTCATCTTAGTTGGTTATCTGGATGTAGCAATTTATTTCCTCAGAAATTCCAATTTAGTGAAGTATAAGCTTTTATCCATGTTGGTTCTCTGAATTTCACTGTTACATGTTGTCATGTCTCCATTTTCAAATCTGATTTCATTAATTTGCATCTTCTGATTCTTTTTATTGTGTTACTTTTCTCATTGTTGTGATGAAAATACCTGGAAAAAGGCAACCGAAAGAACAAAAGGATTCAGTCCATCACGGTGGGGAAGTCAGTGTGATGTGGAGTCCAGACACAGAGAGGGAATGAAAATGAGTGTTCAGTTAACAGGCTTGTTTTTCTTTAATCTGGGACCTCAGCCCATGGGATATTGGAGCTCCTTCCTAAGTTAATGAAATTTACACTGCTCTCCAAAGACAAGCCTAGAGTTTTGTTTCCTAGGTAATTTCAGATAATATTGTCAAGTTGACAATATTAGCTGTCACAATTCTTCCCTGATCAACTTCATACCCCAACAGATCATTTATAAGCCTTCTACCCCTTTTCCAGGCATCTCATAATTCAAAATGCATTCAGTCTAACTCCAAAAAAGTCCCCTTAGTCTTTAATAGCCTTATTCAAAACTATCAGTATACTCTGAGATGTAGACCATCTCTTCACCATGAGCTCCCATGACACACACACACACACAAAGTTAGAATCTAGCTTTTTCAAACACATGGCACAGAGAACACATGTACTTTCCAAACTGGCTATGTGGGGATATAACAATGAAACATTGGACCAAAGTGAGACCAAAATCCAGCAAGGTAAATGCCAAATCCTGCAAGTCAATGTCCAGTATCTGGGTCCCATGATGGAATATTTTGTGCTCCAAAGAGCTTGGATACCATCCCCGCCCCCTCCCCACAACCACTGGTATCAGCCACATTCAGCATTAGCCTTTGGTGGATATCTCATGATCAGCATCTCCAACATCCTAGGATCTGTTACAACTTAGGCTTCATCTCACAGCTTCATGGATTCTGAGGCTCTTTCTATATTCAGAGTACATTTTTTTTTTCTTATTCTGTCTTTCTTCTTCACTGGGTCACAAGGGAGTCACAGCTTCTATCCCACTATTATGTCCAACAAGGAAAGTGACATATGCATACACACACCCACACCTACACCCCCCCCACACACTCCAGATAATTCTCTTAATTTGTAGGCAGTCATTTATTTCTTCTGAGTAATTTTGGTTTGAGTCTATTTTACTAGATAGGAACACAACTGCTTCTAGTTGTTTTTAGCTTCTACATGCTTGAAACACCCATTTATACCCTCTTATTCTCTATGTGTCTTTGCTAAGAATGCTAGGGAGGTGTATTTCTGGATCTCATCATTAGAAAGTTAAAATTAAGGCCATTTACATTTCGTGCTATCATTGAGAGGGATTACTGATTCCTGTATTTTCTTCACTTCTTTTCTTGTTAATTTAATGATTGTTTGCCACCCCCTCATTGCCACCCCCTCATTAACAGAGCCATACAAAGCCAGGTGGTGGTGGGGAGCACCTTTAATCCCAGCACTCAGGAGTCAGAGGCAGGTGGATCTCTTAGTTTGAGGCCAGCTTGGTCTACAAAGAGAGTTCCAGGACACCCAGGACTACACAGGGAAACCCTATCTTGAAAAGAAAAGAAAGGAAAACCAAACCAAACAAACGAAGAAACAAAACAAAACAAACCAGAACTATACACGATTTCTTCTTTCCATTTGTGTGTTTATTTCTGATGAACTTGTTCTCTCCTGTACTCTCATGATTGAGATGCTTTTTCTTCTTCTTTCCATTTGTGTGTGTATTTCTGATGAACTTGTTCTCTCCTGTACTCTCATGATTGAGATGGTTTTTCTTCTTCTTTGTTGAGGATTCTTTCACACATCTTCAGCATTGCGGGTTTAGGGTCATGAGTTGCTTTAGTTTGTGCTCATTTTAGAAAGCCTTTATTTTTCCATCCACTTTAAAGGGTAACTTTGGTGGTTTATTATTTAATTTTTCTCATCACCATGACCCAATACCTCCCATAAACAACTTAAGTGAAGACAGAGTTAGTTCTGCTCAGTTTCCTGGTAGGGAAGACATGACATGATCCAGGCTAGCAGAAGTTCTTCCTATCATGGCAGTGGGACATGCAACAGCTTGCTCACATCTCAGCGCTTCATGAAAATGGAGATCTCTGACCTGACATGGGTGTGTAATTACACCTCAAAGCCCAACCCCCATGACTTCCTCCTTCCAGCAAGGCTCACCATCATAAAGCTCCCACAGCCCCCCAAACCAGTACCACCAGCTAGGGAACCAAATGTTCCACCATATGAACCTTTGGGCGTCTTTTTGTATTCAGTCCACAACAGCTGCTTATAGTAGTCTTGTTGTTCGACAGTTACTTATTTCAGGCCTTGAAACACATCAACATGTTTTTCTTGGCCTTTACAGTTTCTGCTGAGAAGTGTGATGTTACTATGATCTGTGCTCATTTACACGCATTTGGCATTTTTCTTTTACAGCCTTTAAAGTCCTGTGAAAAAACTGCTTACTGGTCATGTCTATTTAGGGTTTTAAAAACCCCTTGTACTTGGATGCCCATTTTCCATCTTGGGGAACTTATTGTCTTTGGAGAGATTCTTTGTGTGTGTGCCTTTAGTGGTTTTTATTTTTTATTTTTTTAATCACAGAACCTTCTGCCCTATGGACTCACAGATTTGTTTTCTTTGCGGTGATATATTATTTATGATTTATTAAAGCTTGCCCGATGGTACAGAAAGCCAAGCTACTCACAAGCCACAAAGACAGGCAATGGTAATACACACCTTTACTCCCAGCAACCATATTAGCTAGCCATAGAGCCAGACAGTGGTGGCACACACCTTTAATCCCAGGACTCAAGAGACAAAGTAGATGGATCTCCGTAAGCTCAAGGCCACATTGAGCTACATGAAATTAATCCAGTCCTATAGAGAAACAGCTCACACAAAAATGGTCTCAGCACTTGGGATCATATGCCTTTAATCACAGCACTAAGGAGGTATAAAAGGAAAAAACAACAGGCCTCATGTGGAGATTTTTTTCTCCAGCCGTGCTGAGGCTGAGGAGAGGACAGCCCTTTCAGCCTGAGGTAGAGGTAAGAGCTAGTGGCTTGGCTGCTTTATCTCTCTGATCTTCAGCTTGAAACTTGAAGCCCAATATCTGTCTCTGGGTTTTTAATTTTTCGTGTTACATATATTACTACGGGAGTTCATGGGAGTTGTAGTCACACTGTTTATTTTTTCATGTTTATTTTTGATTGATGTCTGAATGTGGAATTTCCTCTTCATGATCTTTCATCCTTAACAGCTATAGCTGACTTTCTCATCCATGCTTCTGGCCTCTCGAAGCAGATCCTTAATTGACTCCTTAAGTTCTTCATCTGCTTGTTTGTACCCATATTGGCATTGTCATCATTTTTGCAAGTAGATTTGAATTCTTGGTCTAGCATTTTACCCATTTTAGTATCTTTGTATTTGATAAGTGAGGTTTTGATTATTTTTTGATTGAATCTCATCTTACTTTTTGTTCCTTATATGTCTGTTTTTCAATTTATGCATCTGTTGGATTGGATATTTCTTCTTGTTTTATTTGGGAATCTTCTTGATAAATAGGGTTCTTCTCAGAGTCAGTCCATAGTACCATTCAGAGTGGAACAAATAAACCACATAACACCACACTAACTCAAATACGTCATTATGCTTATTATCTCTTTAAATACACTTAAAATCTCTTTGTGATTGTCTCTTCTAAAGTTAAAGTGAATTACTATATCATCAAATGCCATAGGATGGAAAGTGATGAAAATATTGTTATTTTATGATTTTTAAAATTAGAGTAAAATTTAAAATGCTAAATTAATAAAAAAAGTAATAGAGGGAATGAAGCAAGGTTAAATAAAGGGAGGAAAGAAGAGCAGTGATGAAGCAAAGAAAAACCCAGGAGAGTGATGTGAGAAAGTATTTCTGTGGCCTCAGAGTAGGGGGATTTTGTAAAAGCACAAAAATGGTAACCTATAATGTGAGCTCTTATGTTGACAGTACAGAAAAGCTACCTGAGTCCTGGACCACAGAGTTTGGTTACAACAGAAACCTTACATGTTGTCGTTCAATTGGCTGTAAAATTTGCATGGTTTTAAGTCTCATGGATTATTTATTGGGATCTTTATGCTTATCGGGCATCTATGTTTCCTCCATTATTTCTCTTATATTTTATTTAAAGGTCTTTTTCATAATGATTTATATAAACTCTTTATACATTCTAGATCCTATTGCATATGTTACATCTATCTTGTCCTGGTATGTGGCTTTTCTTTTCACATCATATTGACTATTTTACAAACATATGTTCCCTCACCTCATAAGCTAACATTCTTGTGCTGTTACAGAATTCCCCTACTCTGAGGTGGTCATTGTAAAATCATAAAATAAGTACAAAAATATTTGTTATTGAATGGGTTTTGGTTATTGAATGGGTTTACTATATGTTAAATTGGCTGATCTTGTATTTAATGCCTGACATACCTTGTGTTGTAGGACACCAATGTCTATTTGGTTGGCACAGAAGAAGGCCTTATTCACAAGTGTTCCTGTTCATACAACGAGCAATACCTAGATACCTATAGAGGACACAAGGTCAGGTTAATTCTAGGAGACTTGGAAACTGTGTCTCATACAGTGTGTTTAACAGATGCAATTAGCTTACAACTGCGAGTTAGTATGCCCTCCAATAAGTGTGTGCTGATCCCAAAGAAACATTGTCTCTTGCTCATATTGATTCTTTGTCTCTTTATGATCATCTCTTCCAAATTTGTTTGTTATTTTGTAACATTATCTGATACCTTTCAGGAGTCTGTAATATGTGTTAATAGCTACTGGCCATTTTTTCAAGTTTTTTTAATATAGAATAATTAAAGGAAGATTAAATTTACAGTCTTTCAGCTCAAGCAGTCCCTATGGAATGCTCAGTGGTGTGTATAGCTTCTAAAAATGTTAGTAACTTTTAACCTATTGGCCAAGTTTAAAATATAAGATATTAAATATTCTTTACCTATGCATGGCATTTTTGCATTCCCAGGGTCCAGTGTATAAAGTCACATGGAATCCGTTTTGTCAAGATGTCTTCTTGAGCTGCTCTGCAGATTGGGGTGTCATGGTCTGGCGTCAGGAGACTTTCAAACCGGTTTTGAGTTTTTACCCAACTACTTATGTTGTTTATGATGTTGCCTGGTCTCCAAAATCTGCCTATATTTTTGCTGCTGCAAATGAGAGCAGAGTAGAGATTTGGGACCTTCAGATAAGCACGTAAGTATCTAATGGTAATGTTTTGAGTGATGTCTCCAGCAGAAAGAGTTCAAATCAAAATACCACTCTTATAGCTTTGTCATCAAGTAGTGAGTCCTGTGGCTCAAACAGTGCCAGCCACAACTCAAGTATGACATCATAGGATGATTTATTTTGAATAAATGACTTATATATAATAGAGTGACTATTTAAATAATCCATGCCTTGGTTTTAATTTTCCTAGTAAAACTATAGTTTCCAGGGCAATGCTTCTCTGGAAACACAAGAATGAAGCTGCCTTTCCTTTTCTAAGAGCACAGGTGGTTGTTTTCATGACCAAGACTAAGAACCGTCTCAGTTGAAGGCAGCCTTATACTCCGGTGGTTCATGTAGATTCAGATATTCTGTGAAGAGATAAGTATGGCACCCTGTGGTAGGGCCTTGTCTGCTATACACTAGGAAGGGCAATTCATGGGCAGAATTGTATTGCACTTCACAGTCTTTTCTCATTAAGGCCTTCAATTTGATGATGCATATACACATTGTAGAAGGGAGGGAGCTTTGTTTAAATTCTAATTGTAATGTTAGTCACAGCTGAGAAGTCACACACACACACACACACACACAGAGAGAGAGAGAGAGAGAGAGAGAGAGAGAGAGAGAGAGAGAGACGGGTAGACAGAGACAGAGACACAGAGAGTGACAGACAGAGACAGAGAGAACAAAAACTTTTAATGATGGCAGATGGCAGATGGGTGTTTGACCAAAGAACTGTATTTGGTCCATAGTATTACCAAGTTGACACACAAAATTAACCAGCACAAAACCTTAAGTTTACGTTTTCACATTTAAGTTAGGAATGAAATTTACCTGGCTGCAATTGGATTGTTGAAGAAATGAAGTTTTTGGTTAGGAGAAAAAGTTATTCTAAATTTAGAATTAGGAGATTTTTGTTTGTTACATCTATTTTTTTTAAATCAAACTTTTTTTCAGTGTGCATTTTTAAAAGATCATTTTAATGTGACACCTAAATTTACAGATAAACTATTTCATTACAGTTTGGACCCTCTGATTGTGAATTTTTCTAACCCCGGAATCAAGTTCACAACCGTTCTCTTTGCCAAACAGACAGATTGCCTTCTAGTGGGAGACAGCGATGGGCAGGTTGCAGTCTATGAACTGAGAAATATGCCCACTGCTTCAGAGAGTAGCCGGGTAAGACTCAGATGCAAATTTTTTAGGTCCTTTTGTGAATCTGTTGGAGTATGACTTTGTAGTATGTCATGGATGTACATTTAGTTAGTGGCAGGTTTGAGGTGTATGGTAATGCGTGATTCTAAGAGTCACTGCTTGTACTATACATGGTGTCCACCAAGCTTGTTTTCAGTCAGCCTTGGTTCCTTAGTTATAGAAGATAAATAATGAGAATATGATGGCACCATATAAGGACCTTAGACACTGTCAGGAGGAAAGACATCATGCTTGCTTTGTAACTCGGGCTTGGACAGTAGGTGTAGCTGAAATAATTGTCTTCAGAGAGTGTCCACTGTTCTTGAAGTGAGAACCATTTCTGGTGCTGTACCATATGCAGCTATTCAAATGTGAGCATTATGTTGCCCAGCTTTGACAAAAAAGCTCAGTATCATCAATGCACATTATTTTTGTGATAGATTGTTTTTTAATTTTTTCTTTGTTTTTATTGTTATTGCAAATAATAATCTGGTAAATATCCTAATATGAAAAATGTTAAAATAGGGAAACCACATAAATAATATTCTAAAAAGCACTGAGTCTAATTGAAGAATGGCCACGGGTTAAGAACAGCCATTCACAAAAATGTGTTGATTTAGTATACCTTAAAAAGTTTCTAAACTAAAATTCAAATTGACAGGTTTGTTTAGAATGTGTACAGACCTACTAAGTAGCAGATAACACCTGCCAAGTTAAGTCTTTGAATATTTTGCAGTTGGGCTAGAGACTGGTGGACTGTTTTTGGAAACAATTTGACAGTGTGAAACTAGCATTGGGAACTCCTCAGGGGAGTGTGGATGGCCTTGAACTAGTAATTCCATTCTTGGAACTTTTAGCTTATCATCTTTCTGCCTAAACCCTACAGGGCTTGTTCCTTCGCCTACTTCAGATCTTTGCTAAAATGACTTTTTCAGTTAAGCTTTCTTTGATTGTCTCATTTAAAATTGTAATATCTGTTCTTTCTACACTCCCTATTCATCCCTCCCCATCACTGATTTCCCTTGATAGCCCTCACTTTTTAATATTTTTACTCTTATTTATTTGTCTAAAAAGTTATTTGTATATGCCCCCAAACTAGAATGTAAACTCCATCAACAAGGATTTTGCCTATTTTGGGCTAGGTTATATTTCCATTATTTAGTTCAGCTACAGGGGTATTCAGCAAATGTTTGTTGAACAAATATGCTTTGAAAAACTCTAAGAAATCAGAATATATTGTAAATATCATTTCTTAAAGGGAAAGATCGTGAATGAATTTTAGGTTTCCAGTTCAGTTATTTGTTTTCTTTTCTAGTGTATGCAAAGAACTCTAACAATCAGAAAAAGTAAGCCCAATTTTTTTAAATGAATAAATATATAAAATACCAATTCACTGAAGAGGAATCTACAATATCAAAACATCTTCAGGATCACTAGCATTTATGAAATACATTGATTGGGTGGTTATAATCTAACCAAATCAAATCAAATCAAATGTTAGCAAGGGTTGTGAGAATATACATGTACATATATATTCATATTAGCCTCTTTGGAGAGCATTTCAATGAAACAGAAAACTAACATACCACAGAAGTCCTAATAATTAGGGATAACTCCTCGTTTGTGTTAACTAGCCAACAAAGATACTGATGTGAAGTTATTTTTCTTTCTTAGGTGTTCTTGAAGCAACCTTTATGTGTAGAAGGATGGCTTAGTATACCCTCAAATAACAGAGGTTTAAGTGCTATACAACATGGAAATCCCAGTAGACTGTACATTTTCACTCAATTATAGATTCTGTTTTTCAGTATATGAGCATCAGTCTAGATTGCCCAGTTACACATTTACATAACAAGTGTCAGGAAACCTCATATGAAAAATTCTTTTATGCATAAGTGAACATTGAAATACCTAGTATGTAAAGATTTGTTTATGCAGAAAATGTTAAAATTATGTTTGACTTTTTACATGATACTTTTTAATTTTTTTAAATTTTAATTAGAAAGAAATTATTTTACATGTCAATCCCAGGTCCCTCTCCCTCCCCTCCTTCCCTGTCCCCCCCCCAACTAACACCCTACCTATCCCATACCCTTTCTGCTCCCCAGGGAGGGTGAGGCCTTCCCTAGGGGTCTTCAGAGTATGTCATATCCTTTGGGATAGGGCCTAGGCCCTCCCCCTTGTGTCTAGGCTCAAGGAGTATCCCTGAGCCCAAAGTCCATTCCTATGCTAGGGATAAGTACTGATCCCCTACAAGAGGCCCCATAGATTTCCGAGGTATCCTTACTGACACCCACATTCAGGGGGTCTGGATCAGTCCCATGCTGACTTCCCAGCTATCAGTCTGGGGACCAAGAGCTCTCCCTTGTTCAGGTCAGCTGTTTCTGTGGGTTTCACCAGCCTGGTCTGGACCCTATGCTCATTAGTCCTCCTCTGCAATTGGATTTCAGTTCAATTCAGTGTTTAGGTGTGGGTGTCTGCTTCTACTTCCCACCAGCTCCTGGGACATGATACTTTTTATCAGCATAAAAAGAATAACATTATAAGTACAATTAGATACTACTCATTTGGCTGAGATGTGTGTCAAATAGTGTTGGCTAGGGAGTGATGAGACAGCTTCTCACAGAAGAGGCAGCACCTCAGTGCCTTTCTTGGCAGGCTTAAGTTCATTTATTTCTCATGACACTTTTACTATCTGGTCAGGCTCCAACACTTAGATGCTTATTTGCTGTCTCCCTAGATTCTGTATATCCCCGGGGTTTTATTTCATTGGTAATGGTGTGAAATATACACCGGTGAGGTCTGAAGACATGTCTCAGAGGTTAAGAGGGCACACTGCTCTTACAGAGGATCCATGGCACCCAACTCAGAACTGCCTATAATTCCAGTTCCAGGGTATAGGATACATCTGCCCTCTTTGGCATCCAAGGGCACTCCCATGCACTCACACACATTCAGACACACAGAGAGGGAGAGACACACACACAATAATAAAAATGAAAAGAAACCTTTGAAGACACACCAATGAGAAAACAGTGAATCTATTTATAGCAATCATGGGTCTATATTTATTAATCAGAAGTAATTCTAGATGATTGCTAATAGAGGACTGTATAATTGAAACATAACACCTTACCACCTTCATATGTATCTCTCCAAACACAGACATTTAAATAATATGCATATTACTATGATCATATGAGAATTTCTGAATATGTGTAGAAAAGAAAATTTTAGGAAGGTGGGTATCATATGCTAAAATTCATGTAAAAGCTAGATTAGATGTGGTACAGCAGGGCATGGAGGTGCATGCCTTTAATTCCAGCACTTGGAGACAGAGGCAGGTTGATTTACAAAGTGAGTTCTAGGACAGCCAGGACTACACAAAGAAACCCTGTCTCAACAAACAAACAACAACAAAAAAGCTAGATGTGGTGGCTCATGCCTGTAATCTCAGTGCTGAGGAGATCAGGTAGAATTGCAAGTTTAAGATGGACTACATGGTGAGAGCTTCAGTCTAGCCTGGTCACAGAGCTGAGACCCTGTGTCAGCAAATAACACAGACACACAGACACAGACAGACAGACAGACAGACAGACAGACAGAACAGACACACACACACACACACACACACACACACACACACACACACACACACACACGAAACAAACAAAAAAGCCCTATTCTCAGTGAATAGAATTATAGTTAGAAGTATAAGATTCAAGTACAACATGCTTCATTGTTATGTTTGAATCCTGATCATCTTTTCATTTGAACATTATGTTCCACAAACAGAAATTTGAGTTGACAGAGTTTGAATGGCTTTAAATAAGTTCTTATGTGTGTGATTTCATGGCTCGCGAGCAAGTTTTTCCTTTACTAAATATGTCCTGTACATTAGTGAGTGAATATATTTTCATGATTGTGGTCAACGTCTTTGAAGGGTTTAGTGCTATTTCTGTGGGTATAACCTACCCCTCTGCCTCCAAAGTTTTTGGAAAACAGTTACAGCCCCAGTCATAATATGAAGCACTTCTTATCAAGATATTATGTGAAGTGACATCATGACGTATAATTTTTCCATTAATTTCAACCAAAAGTGTGTCAGAGGTCTGGAGGGCTTTTGGTTTCATCTATAGGAAAGATGTGTACCAGATCTCTAAGGCTGCTTCTGGGTATGACTGATAAGGAAAGACAGCATAGGAAGGTATACAAAGGGAACTTCAGAGCTGCCAAGGTAGCTCATCAGATAAAGGTGCTTGCTGTGCAAGCCTGTCGACCTGAGTGCAATTCCTTGAATCCATGTAAAATTAGAAGGGGGGGGGGCATAATGACTCCACAAAGTTGTGCTCTCACTTCCACACAGTCAACATGTGCACCTACACACTTACTTTTACAGGAAAGTTCTTCTTGTATATTAAAAAATATGCAAGGTAAAGTGGCCTTTGTGGATTTGGGATGTGTGTGTGTGTGTGTGTGTGTGTGTGTGTGTGTGTGTGTTGTATGTGTCTGCGTGCATGCCTATATGTTTGTGCAGACACTAGTAGAGGACATCAGTTGTCTTGCTCTGTCATTGCCTTAGACAGACTCACTCTCACTGAAGCTGGAGCTAGATTGGCACTCAGCAGCTCCGACTGATCCTCCTGTCTCTATCCACCCACAGGGCTGGAGTTGCAGGCACTGATAGGACTATGCCCAGCTTGAACTCAGGTTTCCATGCTTGCACAGCAAGTGCTCCTCCCCTGTGAGCCACCTCTCCAGTCCATATTTGTTGATTTGGATGGATATGTATTTTGTAATCAAAGAATGCTACCAAGCAGCCCTTGTGCCTGGTATGATAGAGAAGTGTTCAATGGATTGGTATGAGTTTTTGGACCATATGTTCTGTCTCTCATTACAGTTATAACTCTGTAGTATAGCTAACTGTTGACAGGATATACCACTCCTTATCTTTCCTGATGGCAGAAGCACCAGGCCTCTTGATATGATGAAAGTCAATCTCTAGACATCTAAGTTTTGCTTTAAAGAGTTATGGTTTAGGAATTAAGTGGAAGTCAACTTTGTGGGCTCTTGAATACTTCATTGACTACTATGACTCAGCATATAGATATTCACCATATTTTCCTCTGTTTGGGATATATCTTTATATATCTTTATCTTTATCTTAACTAAAGGAGAATATTTAAAAGGTGGGGGTGTTTAAAATGGGATTTAAAAAACATTGACATGTAATATAATAGGCTACTGTTGAAAGATACTGAAGGCACTGTATTGATTGATGAGATAACTACTGAGTGTGCACCGTGTGACAGGGCCTGTCTTAGGCACCAAGGATACATTACTGAGCAAGCTGCAAGACTGATTCATTTCCTTAGCCCAAGTGAGAGACAGAAGCAGGAGGGGACAGCTTTGAGAAACACAGGAGAGTTAGAAACGGCCAGGAGTCACATTCTTACACTGGATGCTGTAGGCTGATGACGCGCTGAAGACCGAGAGTGCAGTACAGGTCAGGGGACTGGAACTGACTACTGAGATGCGGGGGCTGCTTGTTCTTTAGAGTTTAGGTACGGCTGGCATCTGCACCTCCCATAGCCTTCAGATGCCGATTTTCTCGGCATCCTTTTTGCCTTGTGGTAGAGGGAACTCAGCTCTTTGGTCTTGTCATCTTTCATTATAAATTCTTTCGTTCTTCCCCCACATCTTTGGCTTTCTTCCCTTTGTGTATGATCATCTTGTGAGTTTTAACATGAACATCAAGAAGTCAGTCTCTAAGTCAACCATCACCAGAGGTCAGGAAAGAACTGGAAATGCAGGTGAGCCAGCTCAGGCTCAGGCGCAAAGGTAAACAGGAGGTGCTAAAACTGCCCTCCCTTCCATCAGATCCTTGTAAAATCGTTTGTCAAGCTTCTTTAAAAGAGGCTTTCCTAGGAAAGCAGCTATATGCCAGGAAGCAAGTGTCATTATTTAAACCTTCCCCTGTTTGTTCCCTCTTTTACAATCCCATTAAATGTGTACATCTAACTTACAAAATTCAAATGGCATTTTAAAGACAGCTTTACTGTTCAGATTGAATTTTATTGTCTTGTAATTGTGTGTGTGTTTTTTTTCTTTTCTTTTCAGGGAGATGTAATAAATGTTCTGCTTGGGCCCAAGACAAACCAACCATGATAATCGATCATTCTTGTTACATCTTGTTCTTGTTTAAGGAAAAGGGAATAACATATACTGTAAGCTAAGATTTTAGTTTTAAGAGAGCAATATGTGGCCTATACCTTCCATTTAATTAAATTAGCTTTTGTTTCAGAAACATGATTAGTTTATAATCTAAAATACTAAAGATTTTTTGTTGGGATTTTCTTAATATTCTAAACATATTTCTGCTCCACTTCTTGGTCAGATTTGAAGTATCTATTAGCAAATATGTAAACCTATAACATGTCCAAATAGCTTGGGAAGTGCTTTCTTTAGCTATTTTTAGAATTACTTCATCTGCAGTTAGAAGATAAAAATACCAGCAACTATCAAACCTGCTTCCCAAGCCCTGATTTTGGGATTTACAGTCACACAGCCACTTCGATGAGCACAGTGAGCTCTCACACCTGACTTGGGATAGCAATGCTACCCTCCTAATTCAGAGCCCCAAGACTAGAGAACTTTGTCAAACCACTTGGCAAGCTATGGGAGGGAACATAAATGTCAGCGTCATATTGTCCTGCTAGCCAGCATCCCATCCCCTCATCAGAGAGGAACAACTAATCAAAATACATTGTCACCTTCCTCTTAGCCCGGAGTCATCTGCAGGGAACTTCCAGCCCAGACTTAGAGTTGTCTCAGCAAGAAAACAGGGTCTCTGACCTATACACCTATACACCTGGTCAGGGAGTTTCCTAAAGAGGTCTAGAGAGAGATTGGTCAGGAAGGGTGGAGTACCCCCCCCACACACACACACACACACTGACACAAACTGCTAAGAGGTGGTTTACGTGGGTCCTTCACAAGTGTTCAGGAGTTAAAGGAGGCCAGAAGGCATAGTAGCCTGTTCTGTAAAGTGTTTTGAGTAGAGAAAAGAGACTGGGTATGTGAAGCCAGCAGAGGCTCCGGAGGTCGTGTATGTCTGTGCTGGTGATGACTCCATCACAGTTACAACTACCGATGACAAGCAACCATTGCCTTGCCATCACCGTATTGGGGGATCTAGCAATTAAACAAAAGTAAGACATTTTTAGGTGGCTCTTGGGTTTATCTAAGGTCCTAAGAATTAGACAGTTTTCTGCTGGTATAAGCCATTGTGGTTGTCTTTCTGAAAGATTGAAATAACTGTAACTTGGAGGAAGAAAAAAAATAAAAACTTGATTTAGTTGAAAAATGTATTCCTTTTTATTTTAATGTGTTTTTTTGTTTTGTTTTTTGTTTTTGTTTTTCGAGACAGGGTTTCTCTGTGTAGCTTTGGAGCCTATCCTGGCACTCGCTCTGGAGAGCAGGCTGGCCTCGAACTCACAGAGATCCGCCTGCCTCTGCCTCCTGAGTGCTGGGATTAAAGATGTGCACCACCAACACCCGGCTTAATTTTTTTTTAATTTATATTTTTCTCTTGTTTTCATCAAACCTGGCTGAAAACTAAAGGCATCATTTTGGACATTGGACAACGGATCTAAGGAATTGAACCTACTCTACTACGTTTTCTCCTCTAGATCCTGCAGGGTGAAATGATGCTCTCACATGTGTAGATTAGGTGTGAATTTGTACTTTGTATTAGGGAATTTCCTTGCCTGTTTTCTAGACTAACCTCAGTTCCTTATAGTAGACTCCATCACATGAGAATTCTACCCATACACTAGTCGTATCATCTTTAATACATGTGTGTATGCAGTTGGGAGCATAGAGGGTGATGGCTGTGCTGAGCTTAGGACTGGGCAGTCATCACTTAGGTTGGTCATTTTCCAGGAGGCAGCTTTCATACAGAACTTAAAGCTATCCGAGTTTCCTGTGAAGCTAGCTATACTTCCCACTGATCTAGGAATGAGTAATGGTATTCCCTGCTGTGTAATTGTGCAGCTCATTTAATGTTCCTTTGGTTTACTTCTAAGCAATTACTTAGAGTTACAAATGAGAAATTAAAACACTCAGTATTTTCCACTTTGTCTAAAGAGTTTAATTCAAAAGAAAATCTTGAATTTTACTGTAAATCGGTTTAGTTATCAATATGCTAATAATTATGCATATTGAAGCTCTTTTTAGTTTACAAAACACATTCATAGCCATCATCTCAGTTTTATTCATCTTAACAATTTTGAAACAAGTAGAGAAAATTGTTATAATACCAATATCTGTCTCCCAGAAGACTGTTTGTGGCTTGAAGAAGTAAGATAAAACACCAGACCATTCACTGGCAACTTGAAATGATTGAACTCAAACACATTGGCTTTGCTTTGGTTTAGGTTGTTGTTCTGAGCAGCCATTATGGTGAGCAAATATATGGTGGGATATGAGAGAGAGAAAGAGATAACAGTTCATGTCCTGTGGGGAAAGGCAGATCTGAAGAGGAGAAGGCAGTGAGGAATGGCCTGTTTGCCACCTAGGGCCATGGTAACATCCAGTCCTAGGCTGCTGCCAAGGGCCATGTCTGAATCTGTGACCCTGCCGCAGCCAGGGTCTCTTCAGCAATAGACAATGTGCAGGCTCCAGTTACCATTGAAGGCAGTGTAGATGCCTGGAGTCTGGCCCAATACCTGAGGACATGTTGGTGCCTGAGGGTCATGCTGCCACTAGGGCCTGCACTGCTGCCTGGATCTAGAGGCCATGTCTGTGTCCATTGCTCCACCATAGCCAGGGTCTATGTTGAGGTCTGTGGCTCCTGGTACCATCAAAGACCCTGTGATTGCACAGGGTCTGGGAGGCCATCTGGAGTCATGTTGGAGTCTGGTAACCACATTGCAACTGGGAACATGCCAATCTGCTTCTTGGGACCAGGGTGACACCTAGGCTCAAGCTACTATTGCTAGCCATGTTTGTGTCAGTGGTCAAGCTGCAGCTGGGGTCTGTGGCTGGAGTTACCACAGGGGCCCATTCGATATTCGAGAGGAGATTCAGTGAGAGACCAGTATTGATGGTGTACCAGAAGCCAGAAACCTTGAACCTGATGAACAACACATAATACAGTGAATATTTGCAAGTAAAGCTGTTTGGACAGAAGAGTTACACAGCAAACTCCCAACGCCACCAAGATGAATGAAGAGGGGATGGGAAGAATGGAGGAATAAAGTGGTTTTGCTTTTTCCTTTTGTTGTTGTTTGCTTTTTTTGTTAGTTTGTTTATTTTTGTTTAGGTTTTTACTTGTTTTTAAATTACTATTTTATTTGAATTTTTATTTTTACCTTATTTTTAAGTTTTCAACTAGTGACATTTAGAAGCCTCCAGAGCCACTGGAGCTTAGGAGCCCTGTACTGATGATAGATGGATCTTGACACAGAAAGACATTGCACTCACGTCTAGGGAAGGGCAAGCAACTTGTGCTGACACTGACTTGTTTAATACATGTTTAGAGTGACATGGAATCAGAAAATATGTGAGGTATTGATGTAGATTATTATTCTAACTATGTAAAGATGTGTTGCATCTGTTTCACCTTACCTGCCTAAGGTAGCTGATTGTTCTAATAAAAAGCTGGATGGTCAATAGCTAGACAGGGGAGGGATAGGTGGAGCTGCCAGGCAGAGAGAATAAATAGGAGGGGATATAGGAGGCTGAGAAGAAAGAATGGAAGAAGGAGAGAACGAGGGACATGCCCAAGGCAAGAAGCCAGTTATTCACCAGACAGACATAGAGAAGCAGTCAAAGTAAGAAATAAAAGGTAAAAAGCCCTGAGGCAAAACATATATAAAGAAAAATAGGTTAATTTAAGTTAAAAGAGCTAGCCAAAAAAGAGATAAGCTAAGGCCAAACATTCAAAACTAATAAGTCTCCGTGTCATGACTGGGAGCTGGTTGGTGGCCTAAAAGAAATAGCCTGCTACAAGGTATAGAAAATATAGTTATATTTCTTGGATCACTAAATTTGTTTTTAAAAACTTTTTTTTTTACATTTGTTTTTTGTTCTGTGGTGTGGGGTGTGTAGAATCTGTGAAGACCAGAGACCAGCTTACCCAAGTTAGTTCCATATGTAGATAACTATATTTATAAACAGGATTCATACCTGCTATGGTAAAAGTTGGTGAGATGAGTTGCTTAATCCCTCCCTCCCTCCCTCCTATACTTAAGCTTCTTGAAGAGAGGGCCTATGTGCTGGGCTTACCACACTACCCTACCAGTTGAGAATGCAAGAAATACCTTTTGAGTGCAAGAATCTGGGAACTATAGCTTCCTTCTTGCAGATCCTTATGACAATATGGTTCAATATCTTGAATTTACTCGGTATCCTAAGAAAATATATTAGCATCAGAGCAGATAAGACATTTGAACTGTAGAATTTATAAAGAACGAATCAGCCTGGAACGTTCATGAGCATAGCTGCAGCTTTCTTCCATTTTATTACAATAAAATCAATTTCCCCTTTCAATACAAAAAGTAATAATAAACTCACTATCTTCGTGTGTGTGTGTGTGTGTGTGTGTGTGTGTGTGTGTGTGTAGATTGTTATTTCTTTGTGTGATTGTGTTCCCACCAGCAATTTGGGGAACAAGGCTATCTAATGTAAAGCATCCCAGGAAAAAGGCACAGGGCTCATTCTGATCACAGGAGCCTTGTCCGCAGAGCCTGGTCTTCAGAAAACACCTTCAGCCTTTGTGCTCTGCTGTGCTTGCTCCTTTCCTGCAGGAGATTGCCTGCTGTCCTGGTGACCTCATTGACTTATCCTGGCAACATTTAGACTCTGCAATCTGTTTGTTCAGGACTTTGTTTCAAATTTCCTCAAAATTTGTAGACCATTTACTAGCATATTAGTTTTTATGTGGCAAACGCATTGCATAGGAAAATCAAAAGGCTGACATTTACATGAGACCAGTTCCTAGATTGAACTGAAAATGCAATATGTCCACTAAATCTGACATATAAAACATTGTTATGAATCTTACAAAAGTGAACATTTATTTTTTAAAAATTGCCAAAAATGTATGCAACCCCCAAAACAATGCATGGAAACCTGTATTTTCACCAAATATGTATTATATATGGGTACATTTAACTACAAGAAGATATGTTAGTGTTACTCCAAGAAGAGTCCTGGGGTGAATTCTTGGGAGACCTATATCTGAACTCTGATGATAGATAGAGGGATAGAGACAAAGATAAATAGATGGGTTTGGGGGGTTTTGTTGTTTTCCTGTTCTTGTTTATTTGAGTGGTGAGGATGGAATCCAATAAGGCCAGACAAGCACACTATAGTGAGCTATCCCTTAGTTCTTACATTTTTTTTTTTTTAATGTTGAAACAGGGTCTCACTAGGTACCCAGCTGGCCTTGGACTCACTCTGCAGCCCAGAGTGGCCTGGATCATGATCCTCCAGTCTCAGTTATCTGAATAGCAGGGATTGGAGACCCACCCGCACAGGACAAGCTCAACTGTATTAAAATTTCCAAACTGTAACATGCTTGATTGTTTATTGTCTTTATCTAAGCACACAAAATGATAACAAAATACAAAATCGATGTTGTGTACATACAAAATAAAGCTTTAAGTATCAATTTCTGTTTTCTGAGTACATCTGAAAACATACACATATGTGTGTGCTTGCAAACACCAGATTAGCCATTTATTGGCAGATATGTAAATTGATTCCATTGTTTCTTTTCTTTAACAGGGGCTTATAGAGCCCAGCCTAGTCTCAGTGTGTAGCCGAGGAAGCCATTGGTTTCCGGATCTCTCTTGCCTGCACTTTGCTACTGCTAGGATCCAGCACGTACCACCATGCCCAGCCTTAATTCTATGTATTCATTGTGAATAAACCACAGTGAACATGGATGGAGTGCAGGTGCCTCACAACATACGAACTTCATTTCTTTTGGATGTATACCCAGATGTAGAATTTCTGAATCACATTTAATTTTGGGGAGGAAGCTCTAAATTCTCCACCATAACGGCACCAAATTTGCATTTCTCCATGAGAGTGATGCTGACCATATTTTCATATATTTTTTGACTGTTGTGTATCTTCTTTGAAAAAATATTTATTTCTCTGCCTGTTTAAGATATAAATCACAAAACTTTTGTAGTACATGTGTGTATGAGTGTGCATGCTGAACATACATGTGAGGTCAGAGGACAACTTTTGAGCGTTCTCTACTTCTACGATGTTGATTCCCGTGATCAAACTCAGGTAACCAGGCTTAGTAGCAGGCATGTTCACTAACCACATCGTCTCCCTGGC